TACATACCTACATACATACAAACGAACATGCAACATACATACATACATAAAAAAAAACACATACATACAGTACATATACACATGTACACAGCAAGAGTGAGGGAGAATGGGATTTCAATGATGGCACGCCACCATCGAAAGCAACGGCTGCTATGTGAATAAATAAGCAGAACGCGTGAATCAATGGTTGCTCACGCTGCTGCTTTTGTCAGAAGAACTGGCAATCCCTCGGAAAGCAACCCTGGGTCTCTCAAAGGCTCGGCCATTCTAGCCGCAGCCGCGCAGACGGTCTGAAACGAACTCCAACAATGCTCCAATCGACCCTCTTGTCGCATAGCATCCCGACAAAGAGAAGCAACAAATAGAACTAGCATCCCCGAAGCATGAGGGACATGTTTCACTTGTCGTGCGGCGCGCTCAAGACTCCCAATGACTCAAAACCCGTTTTAGCAGTTTCTGTAGCCTTTGCATTGAAATCTATGCATGTCCAGAACCCCTTCGGAACCAAGTTCAGATTTAGAAAGGGCATGGGCCCGGGTGCCTGAATAAGGTTACCCGGCTGATCAGTCACATGACAGTCAGGGGGGTCCTGCATGTTGGGATGTGTCAAGCAGCTTGCCTGATTGATGGTGTTGTGGGTCAGCCCAAACACATGTATTTTGATTTTCTTATTGCGCATCTAGACTTTCTATGGTTCATCCATGTGTCTTGTGGCTGCTGGTGCTGTTTGACCGTTGCAGTTCTGACTATGGTCAAACGTATTTGCCGGTTCTAACTCATGCTTGAGTGAGCCTGCGTGTGATGATTGGCTTGGTTGTTTTGCGATGTCATGATGATTGTTATGCATGGGCCAACATGGTTCGGCGAGCTTCATGGTGTGGTTGGTTGCTTTTGTGCAATCCTGATAGTAGTCCCAACTGGTGCTTGCGATGCATCGACAACATCAACTGACCCAGGAGAATATTATGATGGTGCTGTGTCTGTGTTATGTGTGACATCGCCAAACTTTCGCTTCACAATGAACTTGCCAATAGCTTGGTACTTCGATGGAAGATGAGCTGCCATCCAACACGCAGTCTGCAGCTCTGCAGCGAAACTGAGTCCTTACGGATGGCAACACCACAAACAACTGTTGCATGCACCGTGCCGGATGGCTTTGCACCGATTGACGTCTTTCTTGTCAACCCGGACGAAAACTTTGGCAGTGCATCATCGCTCATGAGCGTAGGCATGCCAAATGTCGATTTGTATCCTCTGTCTTATGCTATACAAAATCCACAGACACACAAATCTGGGTGTTATAAGATTAGAGTTAGGTTTTGATATTTTGTATTTGATCGTATTGTAATCGGTTCGAAGAATACATACTGTGTGTATACAACTTGATTATTAGCAGCTATGTTATGGTTGCGTGAGCTTGCGGCTGAAACATCAGGAAGAACCATGGATCATGGTAACTGATCGCAATCAATCGAACATGCCAGCAGCAAGTTGGCGTTGTGTTCCTCTTTGTGCCGTCTTTGTGGTGTAATTGATCTCATTGCAAAGTACCTGATGTCATCAGCAAACGCGCGCTTCAGCTACAAACAAAACAACAACAAAGACACAACAGTCCATGTGATTGGCTCGGCGTATCCAAACCCAAGGCGTATCCAAACCCAAGGGCCTCGGGCACCTCCCAAGCCCTTGGGCGGGGTGTTCAAGGCACCTTGGGCCTCAGGCTCCAAAGCCGTTGATCAGGAGCACTTTACAAGCCCCCGGGCACCGCCCGAAATCATGGGCCCTGGGCAGGGCCTCGAGGTAGGCTTGGGCAGGCTGCCCAAGGTCGCATGCCCTGAAGGGGTCGGCATCAGCTGCATCCTTAAGCTGCAGGTGAAACAGCGTTGGCAAGAACCTACCAAGCATCCAGGGTGTACATGTACGCAAGTCGATGACAAATCACACGATCTATGAGAACTTGATGTTTCACCCAAAAACGACATATGTCTGGAGGATCTTTGAGTGTGAACGAGCTGTAAACGACGTCTATCTCGAGGTCTTGCCTTGCAAAGATCTCAGAATAAGCTTTCTGCAATAAAACATCAGTTTTTTTGGGATAGCCTCCACTTGGCTTTCGTCGACACAAAGCCCTTTTCACCAAAATGTTGCCATTCACTTTGTTTTCCTTCCGTAACTCCTTCGGGATCTTGTCTTGGTCCATAGCATCCCCGCCGGCATCCAAAAATGCCTTTGCCCGCTGGCCTTCTTGTGTCGCAGACCAGCCTCTGCAAAGCTGCTCAGGAAAGCGGCAGATCACCGGACATAAGGACAAAGTCTGCTCCCTCATAAGGCCCTGAATAGATGCAACAACGACCTACGACCTGTGTTTCCAACAGTGCGACGTTGTGCCTCAAGTCTAATCCCACGGTGTCGGTCAAGCGCGCTTAAATCTTTGGCCAGGTCCTCGACGCATATCCCAACATGCAGGATGCTAGTGACTCTTACTTGACTGATCTGCCAGCTGGGCTTGGGCAGGCACCCGGGTTTATGCCCCTTACTAAATCTGAACTACCCCAACCCTGGATGTGGACATGCTTAATTGAAAACAGAGCAGCGTAAATTCAGAAACGGGGCAAAACAAAAACATGCCAACGGCATGCTCGCGAAAGTATGGCTGCAGCAAAAAAAAGACAAGCCCAAAGTAACAAGCAAGAGAGAAAACAGCTTGACTCGAGACAACAAGAACCACTACGGCAACAGCAACAGGGTTGGTTAAAGCCTCAACCCTGATCAACATCATCAGACTATGAGCCCTGGACACTCAGAACCCACGACAATCGAGGCCAGCCACGAACGGCCCTCGCCGTATACTAAGACTCCAAAGCCCGTCCTCTTGCCGCCAGCCACTGGGGACAGCTCCCTTTTGAGTGGGTCGAGCCTGCAAGTCGCTGCGGTGCTCTACACTCCAGGACTGGAAACACTCGATGCAACGAGGCCCTGATCAGGAACATCTACTTTGCCTTCCTGGCACCAGAGTTTGTTTGAACGTCTGCAACAAGCACATTGGGGCCTGGGGTTTATGACCTTGCTGTAGGACTTCGGGTCGTATCATGTGCTCTGACTCCAGCTGCGTAACCCAAACACTTACAAACTTGTTGACGAAACTAGGAGACCAGACTTCAACTGGAATCCTATGTCTGACCGATCCTGAAAAGAACCACTCAAGAATTGAGCGAGGAATCGGGGCGCATGCATCATCAAGTCAAGGAAGAGCTCCGAGGGCTTGATGACTTCGGAAGAGCATCGAGGCCTGAACTTTGCAGTGAGTGTATGTGTGCGGCAGTGTGTGTGTGTGTGTGCATACATGCATACATGTATTTGCCCGGATAGAGAGAGAGAGGAGAGGCCGGTAGACGGCTCAGGTGCCGGAGCCTCTCGAAGTGTGGCCGTCCATGTCCGTGTGTGTGTGTGTGTGCGTAAGTCCTGAGACAGAACCTTCAATCTTTCTCGCTCGCTCGCATCGTGTTCCACGTAGGCCCAGACCCAACAACACTCGTTCAAAGAGCATCTGTGAAATATTCAGACTTGCTTCTGCGCGCGGCCATGAAGGAAGTTCGCAACATCCTATGGATTCGGGTTAGTCATGTGTAGGAAACTCAAGCTACGCTCGCAACGCACCGGACATATTGGGTATTTTAACACCAGCAGCTGAACTTCGAGGAAACCACAAATGCAAAGCTGCAGGCCAAAGATTTGAGAAAGCCTTTCGAGCAGGATCTTTCACGTCGTCTTGGTGGCGCCAGACTTTCGGCAGTCTTTCCACTACCGAGCCTGCAATAGTTTGACTGGAAGCTCTTGATTAAGGGCACAGACCGCCTCCCGCCTCCCCACCCAGCGCTGTCGGCTAGAAGTCGTCCCTTGCTCTGAACCCAGAAGTCACAGAAGTCCCTACTGCTGTCTAGCTCAGAGTTGCCTTACAAGGCAAGGTTGAGGGTTCTCAGCTCGTTTGACAAAGACTTGATCCGCTGATTTCCCTGAGGCATCTGCACAGGTAGTGCTGACAGCATGTCGCCCTCGCTGATGATCTGGTGCGATCATGACGCAGCCAAAAGGAGTGCGCAAGCTTACACTAGATACATAACCTTGTATACGTAGACATAAGCTTACGCAAGCACACATCAGCACACATAACCAGACGCATGGGCATAGACAACCATACATACAGGCATACATTCACAAATACGCGCATAATTGTATTCAGACAAGGCAGTGCGCAATCATACATTCATACATGCATGAATACATACATCCATGCATGTATGCATGCATGCCCACATGCCTATGCACAAACATAAGTGCGTACATACCTACATACATGCATACCTACATAAATACACGGATACATGGCTACAGAGGCACATACATACATGCACATGTGCATGTACGCACAGTGGCATAGACCTGAACACAGAAATAGATAAAGAAGCCATGTGCATACGGTCAGGCGTTCTGAAGACCGCCCCTTCACCACTCACAGGGAGCGCAACCGAACCCTAAAACGACTCATCTCTGTGAGAGCTGGCGTTCTCAGAAATCGAAGTGATAACGGGATCTGGAAAAGACAACATCCACGAGGATCGCACACTTATCCCCTCTCCCTGTAATTGTTCACAGCTGTTCGCACGTATAAGTATATGTCCGTACACGGGCAACACGCCAGAGTACGCCTCTGGGAGGTCTGCCACAGCAAGAAACAGCTGAGTTTACCATAAGCCTCTGTGCCAGCTCGCGGGAAGCTGGGTTCCGGCGCCTCCGCACAAGGCACCGGCAAGAAAAAATAAATAAATCATAATTGGGAACAGTCATAGTTCCAATCAGCTTAATGTTGAGGGGTTCACGGACTTGCATGCCAGTCTGCCAGTCTTGTATGCAGCCAGCAGAACGATGCATGAGCCGCTCGCAACGGATCCACTCTAATTCTGATGAAGGAATGTGGGCATACAGTGGGATGCTCAGAAACCCAATGTGCCTCGCTTCGCAGTCCTTGACTGTGCTGTTCGACAGCGGCACTGGTTGCCGGGATGTCTGCGATAGTCGTGTGTCGGGTTTGAAGGGAGCATGCCCTGCCCTCACGACGCCTGCTCAGCCACCATGGTGATTGGCGTGCCTGCTGGGAAGCCAAGAAACCCAAATTGCTATACCGACAAAAAATCGTTCACCGACTACACTTGCCTTGAGACCTTCTCCACGGCTGGACTCTCGTTCGTAGCAGTCAGTTGCGGATTTACGCACTGCTTCGCCCTCGGCTTTTTGTCTATATGCCCTTTCGATCGAGCCGGCTTGAGGTATTATTAGAGTTTAGGCACAGAGCGTTCGTGCTCTTGTGCCGTGTTTGGCCTCGGTATGGCGCCGTGGAAACACAGATCCTCAACAAAGCCCAGGCGTCATCCTACCCGACCTACATGACATGTGAAGCCGGAAACCCTGAGCGTCAGACTCTGCACACCTGCAGCCCGCTGCACTGAATCCTAAGCCCAACTTTGCGAGGTGCTAACATCGGAAGCAATTCCAGTCTCCACCTGGAGGCTTCGAGGCTGCGACTATGCACGACGCAAATGGCTGCGAAGGCCTCGATGCTAATCCGGCCTGCCACTATATGTAGCTGAGCTTACGGCAAGTAGAATGATTGCCGTGCTGAAGATAGGGGTTGTTTCCTCGAGCTACTCACGGGTAGGTCAGGTCGCCATTCTTGTGGACTGATGAGCGTGCTGAGTCGACAAGCAGATCTATGAGTGCGAATGCTGGACATTGCAACAAGAAGTTGCTGTCCCAATGCAAACCTGATGGTCTCTCTCCGGCGTACGAGCTATAGGCAGATCCTGAAACACGACCATGAAACTACCTGCTATCTAGCTATTCTCGCACTGGAGCCAACTGGACGATGCCGAGCACTTTCTTGTTGAGGCTTAGTGGCTTAGTAGACGGAAGCACCATGAAAAGTGGTTCATACTGATGTGGGTACCATGCCCACATGTAGTTAGAAACTCATCGCCATGAACTCAAGACTCAAGGGCGTGCGTATGGTTCATGCACATGGCTCTCATCCTTTTAACCTTGCAAGAGAAGCCGATGCCTGCAGCTGCAATCTGTACTTGTTGGCAGCTATTTGCACACGGGGCTCGGGCTTGCCATCCGAAAGAAGAAGCATTGGACAGAGGTGTTGTCGTGTTGTTTTTTTGTCAGCGGTGCTGGCTCGCACCGAACGGTTCGGTGATAGGACCCAACAGACAAATTCCAGAGATTCGATGCTCATCAAGAAATTTTGAGATGATGATCATGCCGAGGAAGGTTTAACGATTCTACACATGGGCTTCTGCGTTTGGGTTCTTGTTTACAACTAAATGGGCATCTGTAGGGTTTATTGTTGCAGCAGTCTTGTGTTTGGATTAATGGATGCAGAACTACAGGCCCAGCGCAAACGGCATGGCATCGTAACGAATTTGTGCGCAGCGTTGTGCGCGCTTTAGGATCTGGCGACGCCTCCTCCAGCTAGTAGCAGCTAGTAGAGTGGAGATCTGTTTTTTGTTGTTCAAAAGCCATGAACGAATCTTATGCAAAAAGAAGAAGGTAGAAGACTTTTTCGACCTGTCAGAACCAGAAGGCAGTGAACAAGCCGAAGTCACGCATGCAGGACTACATTACGCGTATACATATACATACATACATACATACATACATGTATGGATATATACATAGTATACATATATTTATGTACACATACATCTGGAGCGTGCGGCGAAATACGGGTTTGTTTCTGAATAAAACAAATGATGTTTGGTGTATCCGTCATGACTTTCTGGTATAATGGCCACGCTTTCCGTACGTATGTATGTACGTATATATGTATTTATGTATATATGT